TTTGTGGTGCCTATGCATGAATCGAGGAAAATGTGGTCCATCCACCATGTTCCCATGTTCATGTTCATGTCCTCCTGGCCCATATGGTTTATAGGACCTCCTTGGGAATGGCACAAACTGATCAATCATAAAACTGATAACACGGTAGAGCTGTAATACTTGAGAGTAAATTGGCTTAGGGTTGTGAAAAGATGTTAGCAAGTGACTGGCGGATTCTCAATGCCAAGTTTTTCGAGAGCATGACGCTCGTCTATTGGGGTCTGCTCTAGGTTATCCGCGATAACCCAAAACTTTTCTAAGCTATCTGTTAGATTGGATGCAAGTTCCGCCACTTTTGCTTTCAGCTGAGTTTTCTCCTCTTCCATTTTGTTTTCAAATTCTTTCACTTCATCCTGAAACCATAAATCTTTTTGCGAACTCATAGAAAGTCTGATGAGTGCACTGACCAGAACCCCGTACTTGTCGGCCCATTAGTGAACAGCTTGCTTATGTTAAGCGAGAGCTAAATGTTTGTCGGACATGATTTCCAAGAACTCTTCTTGAGCTTTATCGGATATACTTTGGGACTCTGCGTCGAACATCGCGTTGCGCTTGAAACCATGATGATGGCCCCAATGGCTGAAAGGTGACCCCCATTCGCCATGGTGGTGGCATACTGTTCCACCCAGGACTAAGACTGCCAGAAACGCATTCATACTAGACTCCACAATATATTTTCACAGGAGCTAATGTGTGAAAAACAAACGTCGAAAGAATGTCGAACCTTTAAAACAGCATCTTTATATCTATCAGCTGACACTGCTTCGTTGATTTATCGTTTGATGCTATGCAAATATCTTCGATTTATATGAAGGTGATTGCCTGCAAAGAAGCGAGCATGAGTATCATAGGATAAGTCGTTTGTTCATCGTGTGCGTTCGTTTCCAAATATCACTATGGTTATTTATTTGCGGCAAGAAACGTGTCCTCTGCCTTGCTTTGTTTGGTTGCAAGGAAGCTATGTATGTAAAAACATGTAATTTGAAAAGTCTTTGGTTTTCCAGATATAGTTTTTTTT